GGTGCTTGGCATAGGTCAGGGAAATATCTAACCATGTTTGTTGGTGAGTCTTTTGTTGCTCAGATTAGCAGGAGAAAGTAGCAGCAAGTGGGCACTTTTATTAGAGCTAGTGCTGAAATGAAATGTAGTTATGTACTGTGGTTGCAAACTGGCAGACTTAAGGATATCTGAAGTGGCATCTGCAATTAATTTCTCTCCCCACCATGGCCACATGCCCTCTATTCTCTGGCATACCCAAGTATTGCTGCTAGGGCCTCAGCATCCTACTGGGGGAGATATCATAGATTAATTGGTGGTAGTGGAAAGAATTCCTCTCCTGTCCTCTCCCCTCCTCTCCCCTCCTCTCCTCTCCCCTCCCCCTCCTTCTCCCTCTCCTTCTCCCTCTCCTTCTCCCTCCCTCTCCTTCTCCCTTTCCTTTCCTTTCTTCCTCCCTTTCTTCTTTCCTCCCTGCCTCCTTCCCTTTCTTCTTTCCTCCCTGCCTCCTTCCCTTTCTTCTTTCCTCCCTGCTTGCTTCCCTCCCTCCCTCCTTCCCTCCTTCCTTTCTCCTTTCACAAATGCTTAGTGGATGCCAGCTTTGTGTTAAGCATCAAAATGACTAAGTCCTTTTCTGCTAACAAGAAGTCTGCAGTGCCATTTGCTACCAGGAGGTGACATGGGCTTTGGTGAATGAAAAGGAGTCTGAGAAGAAGGCTACTCATTATAAAAATATTCATTAGAAGGAACTATTCATTAGAAGGAATTACCTACCTGTGAAGATAATCTGAGAAAGTCATGAGGCAGAAAAGGTCATGATGTCTTTGAGGGGATAGCAAGAAGTTAGCACCAACAGAATTTAGAGTGAATAGTAGGATGAAGCTCTTCTATGTTGAGGGGCTTAAATTTGAAGTCAAGATGCTTTATTTTCATCTTTTAAGCAGTGGGAGCTACGAAAGCAAGGAAGTGAAATGATCATATTTGTACTTCAGCAATATCCCTGTAGTGTGGAGGTCCCTAGGACTGGGGAACTGATTCAGGTACGCCGTGATACTTGGGACGTTGCTACTTAAAGCATCCTCTGTGGAGCAACAACATCCGTATCACCTGGGAACACGTGAGAAATGCAGACCCTTGGGCCTCATTCAGCCATTCTCACTCACTTTAACAAGATCTCCAGGTGATTTTTGCACATGGTAAGTCTGATAAACTCTGACTTAGGAGCTATGTTGATGGCTCTTCGGCACTCACATATTCCCCACAGGAGGGGAGGCCTGGCCTTTTCCTCTCATACCACAAACTCACAGACCATTCCATGATCTCTGTCACCTCTTTTTTGGAAAGGATAGTAACAATTTTTTAAAAATTAAATGTATTTCAATAGTTTGAGAAATTCTATCTTTTTGAACCATGGCTTTTCAAAATGTTTTAGAGGCACAGATTGTTAATGGGTTCAGGGAGGCATGCACAGGAGATTATTATACCCACGTTATTCTATTTTCCAAGCTTGGTGATGGGATGCAGGTGTTCATTTGCCATTTTTTTGCAGGTTGCAATAATTTATAATTCAAATTTATAAAATCTGGCTGGGCACAGTGGCTCACGCCTGTAATCCTAGCACTTTGGGAGGCCAAGGCGAGTGGATCACCTGAGGTCAGGAGTTTGAGACCAACCTGGCCAACATGGTGAGACTTCATCTCTACTAAAACTACAAAAATTAGCTAGGCCTAGTGGTGGGCACCTGTAATTCTAGCTACTCGGGAGGCTGAGGCAAGAGAATCGCTTGAACCCGGGAGGTGGAGGTTATAGTGAGCTGAGATCTCACCACTACGCTCTAGCCTGGGTGACAGAGTGAGACTCTGTCTCAAACAAACAAAAAAATTATAAAATCTTAATTAAATAATAATGTTTGGTGACCTACAAAAGGAAAACGTCAGAAAAACATTCTCCATCCAAAATGGTACCTCAATACTCACGGTGAGGGTGGGAGTGGAATCTAAATAATGGGAATAACTTTAATGTAAATGGTGAGAGTTACATGTATTGAGGGCTCAAGGAATTCTATTCTGAGGGTACTTGCTATATGGTAGACGCTATTTTAAGTCCTTTATATGTAACACATTGAATTCTCAGTTACTTTTGGAACTAAGGCCTATTATTTGTCCCTATTTTGTAGGGGCATTTTCATAAACGAAAAAAAGCTAAAGTGTGAAGATATCAGACACTTGGCCCAAGGCCACAGAGATCGTAGAGGACTAAGGTTTAAACTCAGTTTATACAAATCCCAGGTCTGTTTTTTTTTTTTTTTAAACACTATACTATAGTGTAGCATGCAATCTCTTTATATAAATAAATATTTATAGAAGACTATGGATGAAGGATAATAATAAAAGAAATGTGCTCTTTTTCCTTGGCTGGGTCAGAGTAAAGCAAATGCAGTACGTATTTGGCCCTTAAGTGACAATTCATGTACTGTTTCCTAGTTGCTTTGGGCATAACTGAACTCGGGAAAATGCAATTTGGAGCTAGAAATGAATGATGTTGAGAAAAATTATTATTAATTTGTATATATTATATATATAAATTTTATATGTATTTATATATATAAATTATTATTTAATTGTGAAGATAACCTTCACAATTAAAGGTGTCTCATATAAGGTGTCTCTTGAAAAAACTTATGCCACCGAAGCTCCCCTTTTTATGTGACCAAACTCGTAAGCATCCTCCAAGACCCAGCCGTCATTCTGTTGTGTAGTCTTTGACCATTTTCTGAGATAGGGAGCTTTTGCTCTCATTGTCACAACTTGTGTGATACCAACTGACCCTCGTTGAGCATAATCGTGTATTGGGAATGTTGTAAGCAGTTCACTTGTTTTATTTCCCCATAGCAGCTCTGTGAGATGACTGTCACAATCCCCATTTTATAGAGGGAGAAATTGATGTGTTTTGAGATTAAGAAACTCATCTGACATCATGTGGTTAATGAATGACAGAGCCAGAATTCAAATCTTTTGTTTTAACTGCAGCGCTATCTGCCTCCCTTGTCACACTGATTCAGTTGTCTTTTTCCCCTTCTTCCAACTCTTTCTAAATCATTCATTTAAAGTATTAAAGATGCTATTTTAGTGTTGGGGACACACTGGTGACTGACACGTGCTTCTCCCCATCATGCTTTCAGTCTAGGTGAAGGATGGAGAAAAAAATCTTCCAGAAAGAGATAATAGCATAAATAAAAGACCTGGAAGGGAGAGAGCCCAGTCATTCCCAGAGCTGCCTATGTGGCGCGAGCGTAGAGGTCACTGAACAGAAAGAAAGTTGGGTCTTACAGTTGAGCAGCCTGCAGACCTTAAAGCTTCTTCCAATTTTGCAAGGAGTTTGGGATATCATCAGTGAGAATAATGGGAGCTACTCAATGCTTTTTAAAAAACTTAGAAAATGTTGATTTAAACAATATGTCAAATTTACATATTGACAATTAGTGACTTTAAAGAAAGTAGTCAGTCTTGGTTCATGTTCAGGAATTCTCATTCAATAAGTTTTTCAAGAATAACAATGAAAGACATGGGGGGAAACCAATAAAACGTAACACTTTATTATTATTTTTATCTTAGAAGGAATTCACCAAAGGCTTCATATTATGCTATGGCATCTTTAATTATAAAAATAAGCAAATAAAATAACTTGCATCTGTCATTACCATGATATGTTTCATAACCTTTATATGCACATGGAGCTTAAAAATGTAATTTAACAATAAATAATGACATATACCAGATATGCTCACTGTTTATTCCAGTACTCAGCCAAAAACCTAAATATCATTTAAATTATAAATACATAATGCAAATATAATGGCACAAAAATGTCTAAAGTGCAACCAAATCACAAGAGAAGAATCATGCAAACTGGTCTAGGTCAGCCCCCGAATTACTCTGCAGCAAACACAAGACGAAGCTTTGGAAGTTTAAGGGGGAGTCGGAGGGAGTGGGGTGCGGGAAAGAGAAGCAAAAAACTAGCAACATTGTGAGAACTGCTTCTTTCTGTATGTGTAGATATATGTATTGTAGATACATATATAGATATAATTGTGGGGAGAAAAGGGGGGTACCACGGTTTGAAGAGGTCACAGCAAGAAAAAAAAAAAAAAAAAAAAAAAAAAAAAAAAAAAAAAAAAAAGAAAAAAGGAAAATAAAGGAAAAAGGAAATCTACCAAACTGAAAAAAGAGAGAAATTTGCTAGGAATACTCATGAACTACTTGTCGCATTGGGGTCCTGGCTTAGTTGGGTTTGCAAAATGGACACAACACACAAACTTTAATAGCTTTTCTGGTTCAGAGAAGTCAGCCTTGCCTGGGGATGGGAAGTGTGGGAGGGAGGGGAAGAGTCTAACTTAGAATATGGTCTACCTGATTTCCAAGAGGCTAAGGCAGTGTCCATAAGTTTGGGGACCTGGGGATGGGACAGTTCTGAGTATAAAAATGCCCTTAACAATCTGATGTCAGCACGCTTAGAGGCTGTGTGGGGACAAAGGCAGCAACGTTTGTGCTGCTGCTGCTGCTGCTGGGTCTGCTGCAATTGCTCTTGGTCCTTGAGCAGCACGTTACTGGTTTTAAAGGCTTTATGGTAAAGTTGTATTGCTTTTCATTTTTCTGGAGATGTGCCCTCTCTCCTCCCACCAGGATCCCTATCACTCGATTTGGTCAAATCTTGAGTTTAGCCTAGTGAGAGTCAAGCACCAATAGTTTCTACCTAAGCGAGTTTGGAGTGGCCCCTGCAGTCCTACCCCTCCTCCCTCTCTTCCTCTCTTAACATTGACCTTTGGTGGGCAGTGACGCTCATAAGGGACTGTTGGGTTCAAGGACAGTGACCCTGAGAAACTACTGTTGTTCATAGATAGGTTAGTCATTTGACTTTGGTGGTCGCCATCTTGTAAACATCATGGCAGAAATGATCAAACCACCAGCTCGTTTTCCCTCTTTCTTTCTTTCTTTTTTTTTTCTTTTTTTTTTCTATTTTTTTACGATCCTACAGAGATGGCCCAGCTGCCAGGACTACTTTGGCAGGCAGCGTGCTACAGGACGAAAATGTAAGAGAAGTCTATTAAGGCTGGACAGCCCAGGGTTATTTATACTCTCTCAGCCCCAAGTCCCCCGGACTAAAGACCCAAAGGCTGATTGACTCATTCCTGATTGATTTAATGGAAAGTCTCCCACCCCATCATCATTTGCCAGAGTACCAGGCACCGATGAAAGGGGACGAGTAAAGAACTGCCACTTCCTAATGTGTAGTAGGCCTTATCACACTGTAAGTGGTCCAAGCCCATAGGGATGATCTTTTTGGTTCCCGGAATTTCCAGTTGGATGTGACAGAGATCTTTCAGTATAGGTCTAAGTCAAGAGTAGCCTCTGGGTTGAGGTGGGCTGGGAGATTAACATCTTACCTGGGGTCCTTCAGATAAACCTGTTGGTTTTTCCTGTCTCATACAGGCCCATCTTAAGTTTTGATGTTGAATTAAAACTACTTCTACCCCCTTAGTTATAAAAAAGGCCACAAGGAGCATTTATGTGGATATCTGGAAGTGAGATAGTTATTCCATTCCCAGGAAAAGAAAAATAAAGCTAAGTTACAAAACTAAATCTATATGCAATAAAGTTATTATATACTGCTTTGTTTAAGCAGAGTCCTCTGGAATTTATGTACAGTACATTAGTTTTCAGCTATTTATATTCCACAGTTAGACCTTAAGATTCTCTGGTTTTAAGACAATTGTTAAAGATACTTTTAAAGCTCTGAGCAGTTACAGTACATAAAGATGTTAGCTTTTTGTTTTTCATTAGATGCAAGAAGATGCAGGCTCAAAGTCTGGTTGGACAGCCAGGCTCAAGCAATTTGGTAAATGTGTCGGAAAGAAAATTAGACATTGGAGGATCAAGACCATAAGACACTAGCTCATTAGAGATCAAGAATTCAAATGTGACATTCATATTCGTCCATGGCCAGCACAGATTCATAACACGAATTCCATTTAACATCTTTATGAGCATTTAAGACATGCATTTAAATAAAGTTTTCTTATCAGCTAACTCTACTGGGGCAACCGTTCTAAAGGGATCCACATCTTCAAATTACAATGGCTGGAGAGTTACATGAATGTTTTGTATTTGGGGGTGGTCTGAGGGGAGCAGGGGAAAAAACATGGCAGAGGAAGTTGGTAAAAGAGGGTACTTTCTCCTGAGGAGAGGCAGAATGATCACATGGATTTTGTTGGTGGGAACGCTGCCATTGTAGAATGTTGGGATATTTATTACAGAAGCCTAGTTTCATGCAATTTTCTTTAAGGGGGATAGAAAATAGGAACTACTTTAAAAAAATCAAACCAGGCACAGTACACTCAAAATTGGTGTGTCAACACCCCTAAAATGATACTAGTTTGGCAAGGTTGTGAATAACCTCTCCCTGGTTATGCACTCTCTTGGGATGTGCGTTTGATGTGGGAGGGAGAGTCCTCCTCACCTCGGAGGTTCCTGAGGAGGACTTTCAGCTTCTGCGGCTCATTGGTGCGTCTCCTGTTGAAGTCAGCTCGTGGGTGTGTTTGGGCACAGTGGTCTGTCTGCAGGATGTGGAAGAGGCTGGCCATGTTAGGTCCAATTTTCTCCATCAGGCTGTCTCTGATTGTGCTGACTGTGTCTTCATCACATTCCAGCAGGCTTCGGACAAGTCTGTTATAGTATCTGCATCAAGAAAGAGAGTGCATGTGGTAGTCATCCAGTGAGAGCCAGGCAGGACCCAGGCTTTCACCCGGGCTCTAGCCAACACGAGTCCCTAATGGCCTGACCATGCAAACATCAACAGTTCATCAGTTGAAGGTGGCTTTTGCTCTCTAACCCTTGTGCTGTGTCTCCCTAGTTTCAATGCATCTACTCCTAGGGTTTATCACACAATGCAAGACAGGTCTTCATGTTTAGAGTTCAGGAGATTTAGATCACACTTTGAAGAGCAGGCTGACTGTGGTGATTGACAATTTTAGAAACAGAATTACAGAGCTAGCTGGGACCACAGAGACCTTTTGGTGACTAGTTCAACTCTCATTTTGTAGAGAAGAAACTAAGGTGGATGAGCTGAAGCAACTTAGAATGAGGTGAGTCCAATGCTCAACACTGAGATTAGTAGCCATTGTACATGCATATGTAATTATTTTGATGCTTTTTTGTAATTTTCCTTTTTTTTTTTTTTGGTGCGTGGGCACAGGGGGGTGTGTGTGTGTGTGCGTGTGTGCAGATGTGTGCATCTTCTGATGAAACTTCATCTAAGGCCCCCTCTTCTGTGTGCCATGCATTTTTCTACATAATCTAATTCCCATATCACATACTTGGGCAACTCTGATAAAAGATATTGACTGACTCCATCTTCAGCCCTCCATCAAAGGTATATTGTAGTTAGAAGGCCAAATCCTAGGCAAGAAGGCTATTTAAATGGAAATATTGGTGGTTTTTAAGGGTTCATGCTACTATAATTCATGAATCCTTCTCCTACTGTACCAGGGTTTGCTAACCTCTTCCCTTTTTGGATATTTATAGATCTTTGTTCACCATCATTTGTGATGGCTTTCTTTCCCTGACTAGACTGTAAGCTTACTGAAGGCAGGATTTGTGTCCTTCTTTGTATTCCTCATGGCCCAGTGCCATTGTGCTACATTGCCTGCTCACTGCACATTTGTTGATTTATTTTGCAGCCACTAAGGAAATGGAGTTTTAAGAATATAATTCTCTTCAATAAGTAGTGATTCCTAGAAGAAAACTTAACTGTAGTTTTGGTAAATTTTACCAAAACCCCTTATGTTTGGTATCAGTTACCTTCATATTTGGAGCAAATTCTTTAAACACCCCCCAGCAATGTAGCTAAGCTGTGTGGCTTGGAAAGGATTAAACTGTCTAATATTTAGGGCATATCAATGACTTGTCCTGTTATTTGGGAAGACAGTTCAGGTATTTTCCAATTTAGATTGGGATGCCTGTGGTCCATTTTGCGGTGGTAGTTGAGTTGTCAAAGCCCATTAGCTTTGTGTTCACTAATAAGAGACTCTGGGTGACAGTGACCTGCAGTATTTATAAGGAGAGAACCTTTCCTCAGAGGAGCCCGTGGATCTCTGGGGCCACTGGATCTTCCGTGAAAAGAAACCTGTTTATTTTTAACTCACTGTACAGTGCACAGGATCAAACATCTTTCCAGAATAACTTAACCCCCCAGAGAGGTTCTTTCAAAGATGTATGGTAAATAGCATGGAACGTGGCTAATGAGGTGATATGGTCACCCTTCTGTGGCCCAGCAGAAGGAAGCTGGGGACTGAGAGGCAAGTGCAGTGTCTTGGTTGCTGACACAGGCCTGGCAAAACCCTTCCCTCCGGGGAGAATTATATCCAGAGGTGGTTAAAATTGGGACTCTCTGGCACAGAGGAACATTTTCCAGCTCTTTGGAATTATAAAGCACATGAGTCAAAGGAGATCTCCTTTGGATGGGGAAATGGGGAGAAAACCAGTTTTGGAAAAACATAGAGTAAACAACTTTGCACCAGCAGCTTCTGACATCTACACACCCACATAGGTCTCCAGGCATCTCCTAGCTCTTGGGCTCTGCTAGGACCTGGGTCCTTGGATGGCCGTGTCTATTTCAGAGGGTGATTAGATCCTGGTAGCTGGTTTCTGATCTCCCATCCCTCCAATAAGGACTTTATAACTTAGAAGTTAACCCTTCCATTTCTAGAAAGAGCTGTTCATGCCAGATGAGTCCCCAAATGGGCTGGAAAATACAATCTTTCCCTAGAAAGGGATAAAAAGAAATGCAAGTTCTTTCTTAGAAGGACTTGAAAGCTTTTGTCTAGACAAAGAAGTCTAGTACCCTTAAGGGAATTAAACTTCTGTAGCCAGCTTTGTAGCTTCAGGGCCATACGTTTCCTTCAGGCCCCACTTTGTCAGAGTGCCTGCTCTTTTTTGGAGGGGTTCTACCTTTCTACCTTTACTGTCACTTTGTCTGCTGGCTCAGATATGATACCTGACTTTGGTGTTTCTTGACAATGACCCTTGCCAGCCTGAGGGCTCTTCGTGAGAACCACCCACCCCCACTGGAATCTACCCTATTTCCCTCATGGAGCTTTTGTTAACTCAACAAGGGCAGGCTGAGAAAGCTCTTTAGAATATAAAAAAAAGTCCATGTCTCCATTAGTAGTTCTTCAAATGCTGGAAAATTTGTTAGGATTCTTTGATGTCACCAGTTTCTCAGTATGAGCAATAGGTTAACCCAGTGCCTGTCCAGTGAGGGCTGGAATAGCCATTTACCTCTGGGATCATGCTTCCCAATGACATAGCTCTTTCCTGTGTCATTAAGTGTGATAGATTATTTAAGAGGTTGTGTCTCCAGCAAAAGTTGGCTTAGCAATCATCACCTATTTAGTGAGCACCTTCTTGTACTACAGTCTTATAGTTCCTACAGTTATTGGTAGGATGTGTCCATCCTTTTGAGAAAGAAAGTACACAAATTTAATTGTGGACTACCATGGTTCACATATATTCAATTGTGCTTAGTATTTTATTTTTGGGTTCTGGCTATTTCCTGCAGATTTTGCTGGCTGCCATTTTTGAAGTAGAAATCAAATAGCTTGGCTCAAGGCCACATGAATTCTAAGCCCAACTTAGTTATTCACAAGCTGTGTGACCTTCAGCAGGTCACTCTACTCTCTGAGCCTTTCTTCTTTAATCAGTAAAACGAGGCAGTTAGTCTAGTTAACCTCTGCAGTCATCTCCAACTATGACATTCTCTGTTTCTAGGGATTCAATACACATTTTTCTTTTAAATTTTGTAAAAAATAGAGCAGCTCTGCTTATATCTCCTCTTTTGCAGTGGTAGTTAGGACTGCTTAAGAAGATTCCTTTCTTGGTTGGGCATAGTGGTTCATGCCTATAGTCCCAGCACTTTAGGAGGCCAAGGTGGGTGGAACACCTGAGGTCAGGAGTTCAAGACCAGCCCGGCCAACATGATGAAACCCTGTCTCTACTGAAAATACAAAAATTAGCTGGGTGTGGTGGTAGGCGCCTGTAATCCCAGCTACTTGGGAGGCTGAGGCAGGAGAATTGCTTGAACCCAGGAGGTGGAGGTTGCAGTGAGCCAAGATCTCACCACTGTACTCCAGCCTGGGCAACAGAGTGAGACCCTGTCTCAAAAAAAGATTCTTTATCTTTATGGAGGATGGAGGAGATGTGTTGGAAAGACTTGGTGGGCTAAGGGTTCTGATTGCCCAGCCCGAAAGTACCTTTTTAATTATGTGTCTTTTTTCTCACTTTGAAAATTCCATCCCTGACCTTTTTTTTCTTGGTAAAGAATAAGATCAGATATTCTCCATAGCTACTGTTTCAGCCACGCTTACCCAAATACACACATACTGCCTAGGAACGTTCTGTGTGAGGGTTTATAAATAGTCCTTTGTTTCCCTTGATCAATATTATTCTTCTGTTTCCTGTTCCCTATCCATGCCCTAGAGAGTTGGAAGCTTTGTCAGTTTTCCCACTCTGGATCTGGGTTGGTCTAAGTGGTTCCCAAGCCTCACACCACCCTGCTGGCCTGATCAATTTTGCCTGCTTCCCACGGGGTTGAAAGCATAGTTTGCAAATTCAGGCAGGTGGAAACTCCAGCTACCTTTTTAACTTCTAGGTGCATTTCTGTCATGGAAAATCCCCTTGTTCTGGCTCCTGGTCCAGTCACAGGCTTTTGGATTCTCCCAGCCCCAAATCTCATGCTAGATAAGTCACAGGAAGGTGGAATGAACCTGTAACTACTTCCTCTTGCAATTCTGTGCCAGCTGGCACAGACTTAGCATGTGTCTATGGTGGGATAGAGGCTGGGAAAGCAGGATGTCTCAGGAAGGTGAGCAGCTTCAATGGAGCAAAGCAAGCCCAGCATGGAACCACACATTTCTACAATCCTGAGCAGGAATAATATAGCCTGTTAAAGTGAAATTTTTGGAGAAAGGTTGCATGGAAGATTCTGGTTTTCAAGGGCTGGCCATATTTTTTTTCTCCAATTGACCTTTCCTAATGAGTCCCTAAGATGAAAGAGGGAGATAAGAAGACTTTCTTTGTGACCATTTTCTAAAGGTGTTGAAAATAAGGCACTGATTAGAAGAAATAATGGCCTGGTTAAAAATTTACTAGTCTCTTCTTAGATAAGTTGGGACCTCTAGTCTAGTAGCTATATAGTTCTGCCTAAAGACCTCTCTGCCTTTCTAATGGAAGACACTACTTCAGATGAAATAGGGAGATTAGCATTGCCTCACAATTGGAAATATGCCGTGTTATAGATCATGATTTGTCACAGAATCCTTCAGGATCTAAATTGCAATAGTGGCTTTGCTAATGCACCCCTCCCCCCACCTCTAACTACCACACAAACACATACTTTGTCCTTAGCCCCTGTCTGGCTAAGAATTCTTCATTTCTTTTCCTAATGGTGATGGAAGTCTCCAATAATTAATCAGGTCTCCCCTCCCCATGACCTGCCCCTATTTCCTCTGTGCAATAAGAATCTTCCTAGGGGAAATTTAAAACCAAGAGTTATATAGAGACAGCCCACTTGAGAGAAATGGTTTTATTTTTCTGTTCTGAGAAAACCATTTAGAAGCCCATGATAAAGTCACTTCCAAGGACTAGAGAAGTGATTCTTACAAATTGACTTGCGGTTCTGAAGGGCACTCACCTGTAGTTAAGGGTGAATAAGAAATTTTACAAAGTGTTTGTGTTAGGCACCTTAGCCTTTCCCTAAGGAGGAATTAGTTCTTTGTTGCATGTATGTACATGACTAAATCACTTGTAAGCCCCAGAGGGACTTGGCTGTGGCCACTATCTTAAGAAAGGTGGTGGCCCCTGGCTAGGAAATTAATCACATAAGCCTGTGAGAACTCTCAGATGATCAGAGTAACATGCAAAGGACTGATCATTGTGGATATGTGCAGATTTGAGTGGAGAATCAAAAAATCATAGAAATTCAAGACTGGGAGTCAAGTTTTTAGGCTGAAGGATATCACAGGGGACTAAACTTGACCGGCCTGCACTGCCCCTGCCATACCTCCATGCCAACCCCATCAGCATCTCTCAGTTCTTGCTGGGAACCTTTCCAAGCCACGCACATGAACTGAGGATGCCAGCTGTCTCATGTAATAGGAATTCACTCCTGGCTGGTAAAGACACCGAAAAGTACAATGCCCAGATGTTACTGTACTAGCTCAGTGGCCTTGGGTGGTGTTTGAATACTAAGATGAGAATGGGATCTGGACAGGCATAGAACACACTCATTCTAGGAAGTGTTGGACTAGAGGAATGGGATAATATAAGGCCTGAAAGGAAACCTGAAAATGGTCCAGTCCAGCCATTTCACTTTTTGCAAAGGAAATCTGAGCCCCAGGGAAGTGAGATGGCTTGCTCTGGGCTCCCCAGTGAAATCTCTGACTGTGTTTGGGACTCTTTTGAAATAGATGGAGATTTAAAATCTGCATTATGACATTTAACCAGAGGGCTTTTTTTTTTTTTTTTTTTTTTTGTCATGGCCAATTGTGCTGTTGCACGGTCATGGTTTCAGCCAAATCTGATGTCTTAAAAGCTTGTTTCCAGAAACTTCACCATTCCCTTCAGGCTTATGGCAAAAAATGGTCAATGAAAACACCCAGGGATGCTGCAGATGAGGCTGGCTTTCTATGAGCTGCATGAAAAGACTTTTCCTATAACAGTAGGGAAAAAAAAGCCCAAGCTGCTTAAACTGTCACAACCAATCACAAACATATTTTTTTTCCTGCAAAAGCTGGGAAGACTGCAAGCTAAAATAAGAGCATGACTGTGGCAATTTAACCCTCCCTTCCAGTCTGGCTCTGCCAGCCAGCCACCTGCTCCCAGTCCCCTGACTGTGAAAAAGTGAACTCAGTTTGTACCTGTTGGAGAAGTGATTGGGCAGCTGGACGACCTCAGTGATGGCTTCGGGGTTCCGCTTGGCGATGCTGCACACGTTCAGCTTGCTGTAGCACTCTTCCTGCACCTCAGCAATCATCCTTTGGAACGTGGAGCACCTCCGAATGGCGAGGAAGACCTTGGAGGTGACCCCGTTGGCGATGCACTTTAAGCTCTCTTTGACGAATGCTTTTCCCTGCCATGGAGGAAGGACAAGAGGGAAGTCTTTAGGTTGACCTGAAAAGAGGATGGGCATACACGTGGAGGAATTTAAGGGGGCTCATCTGGGCAACATATCATGGCCATCTGCATATGCTTGCAATGAGAAGATTGCATGTCCTGGCTAAGGATTAAAAAAAAAAAAAAAGCCCCCTCCCCACCTCCCTGGCTTCCCTTGAGAATTGAGCTCTACCAAAATGAAATTAGAGAAAAAAAGATGAACCGTGATCAACCATCCTGCAGCTTAAAAATAGTCATAATCTGACTTTCTATTCTTGAGATTGAGACTTTGAGAATTCAGATCAAAAGCTAGTGTGTTGGTCATACAGAGAGAACTTCCTTGCTCTATGCATGTTTTTCTGTCCTCTCACAGAGAAAAATCTTTTTGTCTTATCACCCCTGGCCTTATAAGACATCCTCTACTAGCTCCTTAGAATCATGCATTATAGTGAGTGGGGCGTGTCTTATACAGAACCTATTTCCTGGCCAGATGAGTGCCTCTGCATATGTGTGGTGTGTGCACACTCGTGCATACACGTGCTGAGATGGGAATTTAGAGTGGGGAAGCTGAGAAGTAGGGCTGGTTCCCTACAAGACTGGTTCCTAATAACAATGGTCTAACACACTGTTAAAGACAAGCAGCCAGTGGGAGCAGTGGTCAAGGTCTTATTACCTGAGTGTCAAATTTAGCAGCGCTGTACAAGAAGGATTTACAGATGTCATACATCCCATCTGTGTCACAGGTGGAGTTTTCCAGGCATGCAAAAGCCCCGCAGCCAACCTGTAGAGCACTGTTGAGGCAGCGAACCACTTCAGCTGAAAGAGACAAATTCATCCATTCTGGGTCAAACAGTGAGGATGGCTGGGTGGGATCAAGTGGGTGCAGAGGTGAATTTCAAGGACATGGGGTCAGAAGAACTTATCCTAGGAATCTGTCATGAGAGGCAATGGATAGACCCATTTGAATGAGAAAGAGAGGATAGACAGGCTCCTTTTGCTTATGAGAGCTGGAGCACATGATGGACAGGGAGGGAGTTCTCTGTTTCAGACACAGGCTCCCTGTTTCACCATTACCTACAATTTTGGTGTCTGGAGAAGTGAGGCTCAAGTCTTGAAATGCACCGTGCCTTTAAGCCGTTCCATAGAATCAAAGGTCATTGCTTAGCACTTGAAAGCATGGAAAGGCAGGAGACAGTGGCTGGTGGTCAGGTTTAAGAGGTAAAAGGTCCAGGGAATCCATCTAGCTTTGGAAAAATGCACTCCCGAGTAAAAAGCATGGGATTTTAGTCTAAATGGAAGAGAAGACTGTGCCAGGAGTCCACTTGGAGACCCTTCTGATTTCAGGCTTTTAACTTACGGTCATATTGGCAAAAAGAAATCTGATCCGTTCATGTTTCACCCCAACCCTCCACTAGGACAGTGCTTAGAGGTATGTATAATCTCTTTCATATTAAAAGCCTTAAAAAAAGAAAAAGAAAAGGAAAAAGAAACACAGGTGTGGAATAACCAGGCCAAGGCATCCCTTGTGCAAGACTGGAAGAAAACCGCAAAAAACTTGCATGAGGCTTTCTACGTTCTGGATAAGATCTCCCATAAAAGTAATTTTTCTCCCACAGAAGGGGGGTGTTCTGGCAGGCAGCTCGGCAAGGAATGATCTGCAGCCTTCATGCCACAGGATTCTCCTCTGAGATCAAAAGCATGGTTCAGTTAGTCTTCCCCACCCCCTCCCACCACCCGCAGCCTCTAGGATGTTACAAGTCATTTCCCTAATTATATATTTCCACGGGTTTAAATTATAACTTTGCTTTAAGCAGTTTTAATATGCATTAGGGCTGCTATTGTTTTAGGCAAGCTCGAATTGTGAATCACTGCATCTCTATAGCAACTAAGTACAAAAGGAAGTGAAGCAAAAGCCCTCCTCTCGGCAGGGACCTGTGCTCTTCCAAGGGGATCATCATCTGCAGCATTTTGACACCTGCGATCCGATCTTTGCTGACAGTTGGAGGACAGAGGGCAGTATTGGAAGGGGAACAAGTGGAGCCAGAGAAGTCAAGAGGCAGAGGTGTCAATGCGGGCTTCCTAATGATTCTTTTCCTTCGGAAGCCAAAATAATGCACAATTAGCTGCTCCAAGAGTCAAGACGAAAGTGAGACCTTACCCTTGGAGAAACAGCTGCTACGTTTCACAATTTTTTTTTTTTTTTTCCAGGGGCTCTCTGGCTACGGGCTGCAGGGACGATTGAATGGAGCCCTAGAGAGCCAGCAGGGAGACAGGCAGCAGGGTTGGGGGTGGGATGTATAGGGTTTTCTCTGAATCCGCCCTGGATTTGTCAGACTTGAGGGCTATGGTTCTGAAAATCAGTCTGAAGAGGGAGCTTTTCTGTGTATTCTCTTAAGAGGTAGAGAAGTCAAGAAGTGAAGAGGTAGGGTCTTAAGAGGAAAGGAAGAGGGACAGCATCAAACAAGCCAGGTCTTACCTTAGATCAGCTTCTGGAAAGTATAGAGAGCGCTTTGAAGCATGCCAACATTCAAGCCTTTCCTCCCCTCTCACCCCTCCCCCTCCAAGAGGGTACGTGCCAGATTTCAGGCAATCAGGCTAGGCTTATGCAATGAAATACCCTCAGCAGAGCGTCCAGCTTCTTCGTTTAGTTGCATGCAATTTATTAAACAAAGGAGCTCCACTGCCTAAGGCTATTGGATTACACTGGCAGTTTATTGCCATCAGGCATGAAGCACATTTATTATCAAGATCAGCCTTCACAGACACAGTTGCAAAAGGGAGAGGCAAATGAGGACAGCTCTTTCGGGGAGAAACTGCTCTTGGGTTTGCTGCTTACCTGAGTTTTGAGCCGCCACTCGGGATTTCCTGGGGCTCACAGAGTCATTCTGCTCCGCCTCATGGGTTGCAGAAGCACTGATCACCAGCACCAGAAGCACTGCTGAGTTTTGGAGCATTCTCTGAGAAGTTTCCGCTAAGTTGTTGGGTTTTTTTTTTTTTTTCCTGCCCCCCTTTCCTCTTTCCCTCTCCCGGCTTGAGTGAAGATGTGGATCTGGATACACTGAAAGCTTAGGTGAGGATTTGATGAGGATTTTTTTTGTTGTTGTTGCTGCTGATGCTGCTCCTGCTGCTGCTGCCGCCGGTGCCTCCGCTGCTGCTGCCGCTGCTGCTGCTGCTGCTGCCGCTGCTGCTGCTGCAGTCGCTGCTTCTTGCACCTCTGGCTTTTGCAAACTGGGGGCCCAAGAGCTGCACCCAGGGATTTTATAGCCGTTCTTATCGGTCCTCAGGATCAAGGACCAATCAGGTCCCTCAACCGGTCTGGCGAGCCAATAAGAGGGCATGCAATTCAGCTGGAGCTTTTTGACTTCTTAGAAATATTTTCCAGCAAATTAAAAGTACCTGCTGCCAATGTTTTATATGTGTGTGTGACTGTGTGTGCAGAAACGTGTGAAAAAGCTATTTTCATGGAAGTAAGGGATATCTCTGTATTGATTGAATTAAAGAAAAATCCTATAGAAATCTCTCCAAGTTGCTTTTTGAAATCTAGCCATCTTTTTTTCTAATGAGCCACTTGGGGGAAATGGATAGCAGGGGTATGGTGGGGAAATGTGATCTCTTTAGATGGAACTTAACCTGCTTACAGCAGTTTTAGTCTAATTTTAACAGTACATTCTCTGTTCTGTTTTGTAAGCTACAAATGCAATAACTCCCTATCTTCTCTGCATGTACATGTTCACATGTCTGTGATGCATTTTTGTTTGTATGTGGACATCCTGGGTTCTCACTCACACATTTGAGCCCTTAAGGGGGAATTTATGTGAGTGGAAAAGCCTTGGGGGACTGAGATATGACAGCTCAGAGCTGAAGCCTTAGTCCCTCTACTGATCAACCTATGACCCTAACCAAGTCTTTTTTACCTTGCCCACCTCTGTTTTCACATCTGTAACACGCCAAAGTTGGACTCTGACATTCTCTATACCTCTAAAATAATGTGATTCTTCAATAATCAAATCAACTTTGACTTCATCTTTTCAGTCACCATCAAAGTTGCAAAGTCCAGGAGTGTTAGTTACCTCAGGTACACATGTGCACACCTGCACACACCACCATCAACAGGGAGACATCATGAATGCCTGAAAATTAATAAACTGTGTTCAAGCCCAGCAACTTTATAATCACTTTGAAACAATAAGCTGGCCAAAGCAAGACTAAACTTGCTGAATGGAAACCAGTTCATTTCTTGGGGAGGGGGGTAGGAAAAAAGGAGGCGGAATGGAAAGAAGGGGTAGGGAAAGACCAGAATGTGTAGGAGAGAAGAATGATAAACTCTAGACTTAATAGGAAAATTGCACTGCAATCGCAAATCATGCCTGGTATAGAAGCTTATATTTTCTTATAAGTGAGTTGTAGGCAACGCTGAGGTTTGTCCCTCACATGTGAAGGAGGTTAATGAGCCAGGAGAGAACTTCTCAGGGTAGGAATGTGGTGAAGGTATTATACAATAAAACCTTTAATAATTTTGGGGAAGTAGACGAGAAAGGGCCACTGGTAATTCATACAGATTTGGGCAGGATAATCTTGCAGAGAAACAGGGCCAGTGGCTTTACTTTAAATCCTAAAACCTTCAAACAAAAGTTGAAGAAAGAGTGCCAACCCTGTTAACCACAAACTAAACCAAGAATCAGCTCTGTATATGTTGCGGGGTGATGGGGTGGGGGCAGGGATGGGGGTGGTTCTGGGTGATGAAAGCCTATCCCTCACAAAATAGGGTTGTTTGGGAAGTATGAACGTTTGCTAGAAAAAGGAATACAAGGAATAAAGGATACAGGAAATGTCTAAAAGAAAGGAAGGGAATTTTCAGATTTACATTAAATAATAAGAATACATTTTAATTTATATTAACAGGCAGTATTGGTATTTCTTGAGTACCTTCTGGGCTGAGTGCTAGGGGACAGTGTGGGAGGATAAGTGAAAAGACATAGAGAAGAAGGTAAATTCATGATTCTTGTCCTGGAGGTACTTGCAGGTGAGTTGGAAAGATGACCAGCCACAGTCATACTTCCTAAAGGTTCAGGATGTCAGGACCTCACATGGTAGGACATAGGCTCAGGCAGCACTGGCTGGAGATGAGGGGAAAGCTCTTGAGGGAAAGATCAGTGGGAAAATATGTAAACTGCTGTTGTTGCTTTTTAAGAATTTAGGAAAAAGCTATGCTATTTCATTTTTAAAGAACAAAGCTTGTATTGTGGAAAGCTTCAAGGTTGTTTGTATTGCTTTAGTCAGGAGTAGTAGATGCCAGGCAAGGCAATAGAGTTGCTCAGTGCTCTCTTCCAGGAAGGGAATAAGAGGACAGATGCGTGTTCCTCCCAAGGGTCTTGACTTCTGTTCTTTAGCATTCTCTATCTCCTTGGCCTTTATTCATCATCTGAGGCAGTGCCATTTGTTTCTCTTGGGCTTTCCCTGAGTTTGTCTGCTTGGCCTGGTAGGGTGATAATTTACCACCAGCTGTCCACTTTGTTTTTCCAACTTCCTATTGCTCTCACCAGAACATGATGACCTACAAGCATCAAGATGTGTTTGTGTGTGTGTGTGTGTGTGTGTGTTTTCTGATGTTGATTTATTATTCCTTCTTATTTTGCTCACTTACTATCTTGTGCCTGGAAGTTCATTGCTAGGTGTGCCAAGTGTTTCCCAATAACAGGTAAACTGTCCTTTGAAGAAATACAATAGTGGTCAACCCATTGATTTGAATGTAGCTAGTATGCATGCCAATACATTTGAGAACCTTAGGGGAAGGAGCTGAAGTCTACATGAAATGCCCAGTGTAAAGATTCTTTCTAGAATGTCATGGTTTGTGGATATCCAAGTGCCCTCAATCATTGTGCAACTATCTAGAACTGTGATATAGCAATGATAAAAGGGTCTTGGGGGCCCTGGTGGTGATGTCTGGTTTCTTTGTAACTTCTCTTGGGGGTCTGAGAGAATATGGAGGAGTTTGCTTAGCAGGCTTCAGAGTCTGAATTTTATCCCATAAGGAACAGGAAGTTATTAGGGCTCTTGAGCAGGAATTGTTAAATGGTGGGTGGAAATAAGTGTTTGGGCAAGGTTGTTTCATCATACTTATGATGGTTTGGAGGAAGAAAAGAACATAAGTTTTAAGACTAGTTTATAACATAGAATATCGTTGATGAGATTCTGGTCTACAACGGTGGTGGCAGGAAAGGAAGGGAGACAAATATGAGAGGTATTTTAAATGAACTGGAAATTATTAATTAACCTAAGGATTGTCTTGGGAAAACCCTTTCTCCCAGTTTAATGATAATGGAGATAATGCACATGAGGACTTTTCCCCCCTTATGTTTTAGTTATGACTTTTAGTTGACAGGACTATCTAGTGGCTCCGTTAGGCAGGTGCTTCCTGGCATTCTGTTGAGCAGCAGAATTACCTAACAAAAGGACTTGACTGCACATTAGGGAGCTGCGCCCAAGTGCAGTGGGTGGGAGGGGAGGGTACACTTTGCCATTGCTCTGAGCAGGGAAAGTGCTAAGAAGTTGGTGGGAGAAGCTGCCAACACCTAAGACTGGGTGATGATGCCCTGGCTGTGCCCGTGCAAGGCTGGCATGAGTTCAGTGAGAAGATTAAGCCAAAAATCTCTGGGGCTTTGTTGGATTTGGCTAGCTTAAAGCTAAGCAGTGAACAGCTCTTTGCCGTTTGGTGAGAGGAGCCCAAGAACAGAGCATGTTTTCTTGGTAAATGTTCCTGTGTGTGCGCGCGTGTTTGGCTAACAGAATGCAAGACCCACCAAGGTTGTTTTGGCATAGTGACCAAAGTTGGACCATTTTTCTTTGGGAATTCTGAGCCTGTGTTTTTTTCAATTGGACTTCGGGCTGTTGAGTCATGCCTTCCTAACTTCAAGACAAAGAAGGAGAAGAAGGAAAAGGAGGAAGATGAGGGGAAAACATTTTTATTTACTCTTCTATAAAGGCACCAGATCATCTGCGTGGACAGTCCTCAATTCATGAGAAAATTGGTGCCATTTGCAAGTCTTTGATTGCTGTAAACTCTACTAAAGAAAGAAGGTCAGAAAATATATTAAGAGGGCAAATCCCCACTTCTCCCCTTTGTTGATGGAGGGTGACTGTGTGCTTGGTTCTAGGTCAGGTGTTGTGGGAAATGCAGAGAGATGGTTGACCTTTGCCTGCACCTCATGAATTCCCAAGCTAGCTCTTAAAGCACGCATGTTGTATTTGAAGAAGAATATCTGTTTTCTGGAAATACAATACAGCAAGTGGGTTGGAATAGAGTTTGTAGATTTGGATTCAGTTAACATTTACTGGGTGCCTATCTGCTCTATGCCAGGCATTACTGCAGAGGCTTCTTAACTGTGAGCAAAGAACTGCTCTCCTCCCTTCCCACAGGAGGATATGGGGATCCGAAGAGAAGAATGACTTTCCCATAGTCATAGAGTGGATGGTAGAAAAATCTGAGATTTGCTTATTACACAAACAGCTCTGGGTTCTTTAGTTGTGTGACCAGTGTAGTGATAGAGAGAGTGTGCACGCTGACAGCCCTGCCCCTCAGGGTGCGGGGAGCAGGGTACAGGAAAAAGAAATAGACAGGATGACCTAACATGCTTAAACCAGAACAGGCAAGTTGAAATTAGCCTCCAAGCCTGTTAACATCTGCTTCTCATTCCTTCACGTATAAGTTCCAATGTCACTTTATATCAGGGAGGACAAATTCATCATTCTAGAGCAGCCCGAAAATCTTCAGTCTCACACGAGGCTTCCGAAGCAAATAGGAAGAGGATTTGTGTGTCATGGAATCTGTCCTTTGAAATAGCTCTTGGGGAGACCTAAAATGACATTACTCTATTGAGACACATGAGGGCGCTCGGATCAACCAACAATGAGGATCTGTTTCCTTTAAAATTAAAAAAAAAAAAAAAAAAAAAAAAAAAAAAGTTGTGAATGCTGGCTATGTTCTATCAGCCATTGTTTC